CTGTAACTCATGTTGTTCCTGGGACTTATGTGGCAGTAGTTGCTCTTCAGCTGAATCTGCATTTTCAGTTTTCTTCTGGAACATAAAATATATATATATAAATTTATGATCAAATTTGCATCCAAGTTGAAATTTCATTGTTGATTTTTGTTACAAAAACACAAAGAGAAGTGTTATTATTAAATTATGAAGTAAATGTTTAGATAATATGATATACATTTGTTTGCAACATATATGAGAATATGATTATATATATTTGTGTGTGTTTGTATACTCACCTTATTATGCTCACCTAATTGTTTTTGCAGGGGTTGAGTCATAGCTCTCGGCCCCGTCTCTTCACTGGTTCACTGGTATGTGTGTATGATACTAATTAAGCCGAACTTGCCATATACACTGAGCACCCATAAAAATTTACTTTCCCCTCCCCAGAAATTTTTTTTACAGATTTATAGGTAATTTTTTTCTTAAACGTAGAACCCTCTCCTAACCTCTCTAAAACTAAGACAACTTTTCTAGCTAAAGAATGTTATATATATAAATAACAAAAAGGCTTGCCGTCTCCCACCAAGGCAGGGTGGCCCGATAAAGAAAAACTTTCATCATCATTCACTCCATCATTGTCTTGCCAGAGGCGCGCTTACACTACAGTTATAAAACTGCAACATTAACACCCCTCCTTCAGAGTGTAGACAGTGTACTTTCCATCTCCAGGACTCAAGTCCGGCCTGCCGGTTTCCCTGAATTCCTTTATAAATGTTACTTTGCTCACACTCCAACAGCACGTCAAGTCCTACAATCCATTTGTCTCCATTCGCTCCAGTCAAATACGGTCACACATGCTTGCTGGAAGTCCAAGCCCCTCGCACACAAAACCTCCTTTACCCCCTCCCTCCAACCTTTCCTAAGCCGACCCCTACCCTGCCTTCCTTCCACTTCCCAACACTCTCGAAGACATTCTATTTTGTTTCATCCTCTCCACATGTCCGAACCACCTCAACACCCCGTCCTCAGTCCTCTCCATAACACTGGTCTGTACAAGAATAGAATGCAGTACCGGCAAGTTGATATTTAGACACATGGGCAACATCTGGGTATCTTTATTGTAGACGTTTTGCCATCTAGTGGCTTTATCAACACAAGTTCTTAGGACATAATTTGAAGACAGTAGAACTAGTATATACAGAAAATGAGGTAATCAGTCCCTCAGCCTTGGAGTTGGTGTGGAGAGCACCGTAGTCCTGGACATTCTGGAGCAAAGGCAAGGAGGCTGGCGCTTATATACTAACGCCAGGTGAATAGGGACGTGTAAAAGGCGAGGGCTTAGTGACTGGTAAGCGGGTTTCCCCAGTGGAAGTAGGTTGCAAAATGCTGGTTAAATCACAGTATAAAATTTTATTGAAGTTGGACCAAAAAAAAAAAAAAAAAATTAGTCACGTCTAGGTCCCTAAAGGCAGGAATCTATGTTGGCGCTCAGATTCGGGAATTGATGAAAGACAAGCATTTTGATGAAGCATTAGCAGGTGTCGAGGTGAATGTCTGGTTTTCATTTAAGCAGATTGTCCACAACTTCCTGGGAAACAGACGCTCCCCAGAATATGAAAAAAAATGATCCAAGACCTGATTTCAAGTTTCCAACAACTTGGGTCTAGAATGAGTGTGAAGATGCACTTTTTGCACTCACATCTTGACTATTTTCCCAACAATTGTGGGGACTACAGAGAAGAACAAGGAAAGCCATCAGGATATTTGCATCATGGAAACTCGATACCAGGCCAAATGGAATGTCAGCATGATGGATTACTGCTGGTCATAGAAACGTAATGATCTCGACGCACAGCACAAGCGAAAATTAGAGTGCTCCTCTTTCCTTTGATTCAGTGCGTAGGCTAACCATTAGGAGCATATGATTTTAATAAAATAATTTCATATGATTAATGTTGATGTGGAATTCATATGCTCTTAAAACTAACAGACAGTGCTTTTCCGTGATTACTTGCCTTATTTTAATAAATTAACAATTTATTAAAGATTCACATTTTTTATTATCATTAATTTGTATCTTATTCAAAATCCTTACGTGATAGAGCAAAATGGTTTTAGATATTTACTTTCAGCAGCCAAAGAATATGTAAAATAGCAAACGTGAACAAAAATAAAAATTTAAAACATTCCATATGCAGACCAGTGTTGGTAATCTCGCACCTCCTCCTAACTTCCAAACTATGAATTCTCTGCATAATATTCACACCACACATTGCCCTCAGACATGACATCTTCACTGCCTCCAGCCTTCTCCTTGTTGCAACATTCACCACCCATGTTTCACACCCATGTAAGGGCATTGCTATAACTATACTCACACACATTCCCCTCTTTACTTCCGTGGACAAAGTTCTTTACCATGCACTTTACCAGGTATACTCAACAGACTTATTTCCCTATAATTTTTGCACTATTTTGTCCCCTTTGCCTTTATATACAGAGGAACTATGCATGC